GGATACATCAGCTTCCCACAGCCCCCTTCTATGATGCTATCTCCTAAAGAGTCCCACCTTGCAAACTATGTGCTGTTTTTCAGTAGTGCCAGTGCAAGGAACAAGCCTTTCTCGTGTGGACCTTTGAGGCATATTATGATATAAACACCTGGACATGTGTTTGTATGGTACCCTTCTATTGTATGTCTTACTCTTTTTTTTTTTAATTCACTTTATATCCTGTTCACTCTCCCCCTCCCTCCCTGTCACCCCTTCCCACAATCCTTTCCCCCTCCCCCTTCTCCTCTGAGCAGGTAGGGGATCCTTCTGGGTATCCCCTCCAACTCCCTGCCACTTCAAGTCTTTGAGAGGTGCTTCCTCTCCCACTGAGGCCAGAGATGGCAGCCCAGCTAGAACATATCGCACAGACAGGCATCAGCTTTTGGGATAGTCCCAGATCTAGTTGTTCAGGACCCACATGATGGTCAAGCTACACATCTGCTACAAATGAACCAGGAGGCCTAGGTCCAACCTGTGGATGTTCTTTGGTGGTTCATACTCTGAGAGACACCTCTTAAGATTGGGTTTGTGTGTTAAAAGGATAAGAGTTAGGTTGCCATATTCAGCACACCTCAGTAAGGACTTGAAGCTGTCAAGATTTAGGATGGTACTGACCTGCTCACCCAGCTGATTGTATGTGGATTTTCTACAGTGCCCAATTTTACATTGCAATTTTTTCCCTTTGCATACAGTATTACTTGGAAGGTAATTTTTTTCATCTAAGGAACTAGAGAGTTACAGATTTTAAATTATTCTCTATGGGAAATGTGTCCACTTTGTTAATTTGTAAATCCGTATATTTATATCAGTGTGGACTTGCAGGTATTGATACTTGCAAGATTGGATTACAGTCCAATAGGGCTTTTGTCTTGTTGCTGATATCATTCCAGCTTTGAGTATTGAAAGCTGATTGCCTCCATGTCTCTCCTCTTTTAATGATGCCTTTTGAGCAGTCAAACACCTGTATATACATGACCTTTGAAACTTCAGGCAACTTGACCAAACAATTTCCTTTCTCAAGAGATAAGAAAATATGGGTCTGGAGAGTTGGCTCCAGGATTTCTTGCTTTTTCAGAGGACTTAGGTTCAGTTCTCAGTATCCACATGGCTCGTAACCATCTATAACTCCAGTTCCAGGATATCTAACACCTTCCTCTGAACTCTGCAGACACTGTGTGCCTGTGGTGCACATACATATACAGAAAACACCTCTACACACAAAATTAAAGACTTGAGGAGGAGGTAAGGAGACAGTCTGGCCAGCTGAAATGGTGATTGCCTGTATTCTTAGCACCTGAAAGGCAGAGAGGCAGGCAGATCTCTGTGGGTTTGAGTCTTCTCTGATCTACGTAGTGAGTGGCAGGCTAGCCAAAGATACATGGTGAGACTCTGTCTTAGAAAAAGGAAAAAACAAAACAAAAACCAAAAACTGAAGTGCAAAGGTGGTGGATGACTTGTTACTTGCTACAAAAGATAAGCAAGATTGAGATGGGGTCTATTACTGCAAAATTCTGCAAACCTCAGGTAGAACCTTTTTTGTTTGTTTGTTTTTTGAGACAGGGTTTCTCTGTATAGTCCTGGCTGTCCTGGAACTCACTCTATAGACCAGACTGGTCTCGAACTCAGAAATCTTCCTGCCTCTGCCTCCCAAGTGCTGGGATTAAAAGCATACACCACCACTGCCCAGCCCAGGTAGAACCTTTTAAGTGATGGCTTCTGGGGGTACTTAATGCTCCCAGGATCACAGTGGAAAACACAGGGAGACATTGTAGCAAACAAAAGCTTAGCTTAGCTTAAGAGTGGCCTTTAGGATGAAATAGAATTTGGCCAGATTGATGGAAATGGGATATTAGAACACTGACCTTCCCTGAGTGGGGGGAGGAGAGGAAATCCATTTGTGTGTGTGTGTGCGCGCAAACATCTAATACTCAGATCTTACCACTGAAGCAGATTTATGAAGCTGAGATCTAAGGGTGTTGTGAAAATTAGGAACAGAGATGCCAGTGGGGCTCCAAATCTGGGAGTGGCGTTTTATAAGCGCAGTTCCCTGATTTGGGCCAGCTGCTGGAGATAAAAAGATCACTGAAGTGTATGACTCTTGTTTCCTCATTCTGAGTAGGTGAGAATACCCATCCGCCACACCAAAAAAGAAAATCAATTATACAGCAGTGTGAGAGTGTTATCATAGAAAGACAGAACTAACTGGAATGGAGCAGGGTGGGAAAGGGGGACAGTTTTATTCAAGGCCAAGCTGCGTCTGAGAGAAGAGAATGTACAAGGACAAGGGAGGGGTATGTCACATGAAGGGCCTCTCTTCCTACATTCTTTTTTTTTATTTTATTTTATTTTATTTTTTTTATAAATAATTTATTTATTTTTGAACATGAAATGCTTTTTTATAGCATGTTTCACAAGGGGAGGGGGTAAGAGGGGCCAGATGGTGGAAAAGTACAAAATCTTCTTGGCCCGTGCCTTGAAACATGTCATGGTCTATACGGTACACTGCCTTGAATTATGATCTACCTGCTGTTCTTCAGAAGATATGGTACACTGCTTGAGTTATGGTCTCCCTGCTATTCTTAAGATGATATGGTACACTGCTTTGAGTCTATCTGCAGTTGCTAAGCAGGATCTTGCAGTTGCCAAGCTTCAGAGGACATTGTGCAGGTGGGGAAAGGTGGGGGGTGAGGGTAAGGGCGAGGGTCCTGGCTTCTGGCATCTCCCCCTTCTCTGTTTAGTTAGAGAAGGCATCTTATGATCAATCCCAACTATGTGAATTTTGAATTTGGATGTCTAATTATGGGGGGTCTTAGACAAGTTCACAACCCCAAAACACTGATGTGAGACGAGTCACATCGATGGTCGAAGGTTTTAGGCTGTCACGATGGGCAACGTCAAGGGACTCCGATGTGGGTGAAAGGAGGGTGAGGGCCCTGTCTTAGGCCATTTAGGCTGCACCCACTCCCAGCACCACGCACTCCTTTTCGGCTGCATTGGGTGGGCCCCTGGGAAGTGGACCTACAATAATCCCGTCATTGGGCTAACTCACAGCCATCCTAGTCCCTTGTAAATGTTCAATTTACCAACCATTTGTCAGTTTGGGGTGTAATATTGTCATAAAGGAAGGCTCCCCAATGTTAGCGGCCATATCAAGGGCGGCCTTGGTTTAGGAAAAAGCCAATTTTTGTTGTGGTGATCAAGAGGCCAAGCTCTCTATTGAGAGAAACGGGGGCAAAGCCAGGCATACCAGGAACCCTTCTGGAGGGCGTGGAAGTCTAGCGGTCGACCGTAGGGGGGAGGCAGGGGAGCTGGCAGCTGTGTCAGTCTCCTGCAGAGTCACTTCTGGATCCTCTTCAATTTTCGGCTGATGGTAATGAACTTCAACCGTCTTCTTGATGGCAGCATCAACCTGGTTCCGTGGATGACAGGTCGCGGGTTTTGATCTCTGTCTCGCTTAATCTTGATGTCCTGCGCACATCCTCTCAATGAGGGTCCGTCCAGAGGGGTCCGTTCCTCGAGCCCCACGTCTGGGTGCCACTTGACCCGACTGGCAGGCCCTAGTTATTCGTGGGGGCGAGGAGGACTGCAACCTGCTATTCTTCAGAAGATATGGTACACTGCTTGAGTTATGGTCTCCTTGCTATTCTTCAGATGATATGGTACACTGCTTTGAGTCTATCTGCAGTTTCCAAGCAGGATCTTGCAGTTGCCAAGCTTCAGGGAACCTTGTGCAGCTGGGAAAAGGTAGGGGGTGAGGGTAAGGGTGAGGATCCTGACTTCTGGCCCATCTGGATTAGAACTTCTAATGGCAGGCATCACGGGTGATTCATTTTTGCCTGGGATGCTGCGTGAGTTCAAGCTCCTGGGAGTCCCTGTTTCTCTCGGTTTTCTGGGGTTGAGTACGGAGCTGCCGCCTGCGACCTACTCTATGCTCGGGCCCAAACCGGAAGTCTCTTCCTACATTCTTAACTATGGAGTACTAGGCAAGGTCGATCAGGATTTGGGGCTGAATGCCCTGCCTTTTGTGTTTTGAAGCAAGAAAATAACAGTGAGACCCACATTAGAAAGGTTAATTCCCTTCAGAGCTCTGTAGGAGAAAGGCCACCTGTGGTGACTATTCTTGGGTGGCAGCCTGACTATATCTGGAATGAACTACCATCCTGAAATGGAGGGCATACCTGTGAGAGATTTTTCTGTTTTGAAGAGGGTTAATCTACTTGTAGTGCATACCTTTGAGATAGAAGGCGCACACAACTTTGATCCAGGTTTTAAGTCTGGAAGACACAGACCTTTGGATCTTGAGGCGGGAAAACATACCTTTAATGTGAGCCATACCTTCTGCTGGAAGTTTATATAAGGACACCCAGCCTTGTGGGATTAATCAACGACTAGATTCTTGGACTTTCCGTTCACAGCAAGCACGTTGTTGGATTAGCGGGACTGCAGCCTGTAAGTCATTCCATTAAATTGTGTGTGTGTGTGTGTGTGTGTGTGTGTGTGTGTGTCTTTCTGTTGACTCTAGGGAATCCTAATACACCACCTCTCATCAAATATGTGATGCTTCAGTTTCTTTATATATCCTTAGCTTATGTTGCACACGGAAGAGTATTTCACCAGTTAAATGATATATGTCACTGATTACATATAGAGATAGAGTGTCATAGATGTCTCAACTTTGATGAAAAACAGAAATTCCCTATTAGCTTGCTGAGATGCCTCCACCCACTATATGAATAGTTAGAATTTCCTTACTTCATGGATAGATGTTGAGTTCCCTGGCTCCATTTGTGGGTATTTACTTATTTTTGAGACAGAGTCTCACTCGATCCCTGTCTGACCTAGAACACTTAGTAGACCAAGCTGGCCTTGAACTCAGACATTCACTTTCCTCTGCCCCTCACATTCCCCCCTCCCCCAAAGCTGGGATTAAAGTTGCATGCTGCTGTACCATACCCAGCCCCTAAGGTCTCCCCTTTCACAAGCCATACTTGGTACAGTAGCCTGGGCTGAGATGTCCATGGGGTAGGTTTACTCTGCCCCCTTTCTATACAGACAGAATAAGAATACAACCTGTTGTTAAGCATGTGGAAGCTGCCATTTGTGGTTTCAGGAACACTGGTTTAGGTCGGTATTCTGGTACCCACTTGTAATCCCTCACTCAGGAGATAGAGAAAGAAGAATAAGAGTCTTAAGTCAGCCTTGATTACATAGCAAGTTTGAGGCTAGCCTAGAATAGGTGATACCTTGTTCTACAACAGCAAATCCCCACTACATCTGATGAACTGGTCCTTTCTTACCTGATAGCCAGTTTGTCAGAAATAAGCGTTACACCCCTCCCCACACACCTCCACTCTCCTTTCTGCTTCAACTATTTCAGTCATCTTTATTCTGCTTTGTGTGGTGTTAATAATAGCTAATAATAGCCGGGCAGTGGTGCAGTGGTGGCGCATGCCTTTAATCCCAGCACTTGGGAGGCAGAGGAAGGTGGATTTCTGAGTCTGAGGCCAGCCTGGTCTACAGAGTGAGTTCCAGGACAGCCAGGGCTACACAGAGAAATCCTGTCTTGAAAAACCAAAAAAAGAAATAATAATAATAATAGCAATGGCTTTATACTGCACATTAAATATGCTGGTATATCTGCTGAACCTTACTTTCGGTCTTGTGAATGGCTTTGTAACTCACACCTTTATTTCTTTACGATAATACAGAAGCTCGGGAAAATCAAGACTCTAGCCTCGTGCTGAACAACAGGGTAGCCGAGGCTGTGTGAAAATCCTAGGTGGCTCGCTAGGGCTCTTTGGTGCAGGCTTTGATTGACTGCAGAGGATAGTAGAAGATGAAGCTTGTGTTCCCTACTCAGAGTATGAGGAGTCACAGGAGTTGTGATGTCCCAGAGCAGGCTAAAGGTCTACGGTGTTTAAAGGTTGTCCTCTGTCTGTCTGCTTGTGTTGCAAGACCTGTCTCAGTCGGTTGACTGATGGATTTTTTTTTTTCCGTCAATTGTGTATTTCAGCCCAGTAACTTCATCTTGGTATCAGTTTGGTCCCCCTCCCCTCTAAAAAAAAAAAAAAAAAAAAAAGGACAAAAAAACAGGTGACAGACAGGTCCAAGCTGGTGGAGCAGAAAGAAGGTTTATTGGCTCATAGAACTGACAGGTTTAAGGGTGGGGCTAGCTTTGGGCATAAGATTTGAAAAAGTGCTGACAAAATATGCTTTTTCCCCCCTTCATCTCCTCTAGTTGGTTTATTCTCAAGAGATTAACCATCTGCTTAGCGGGATGATTGCACCAGGAGCTACAAAACAAGTGACTTCACCTCTTTAAAGTTCCCAAGGGTCAGGCAGTGGTGGCGCACACCTTTAATCCCAGCACTTAGGAGGCAGAGACAGGCAGATTTCTGAGTTTGAGGCCAGCCTGGTCTACAGAGTGAATTCCAGGACAGCCAGGGCTACACAGAGAAACCCTGTCTCGAAAGAACAAAAAAAAAAGAAAAAAGAAAAAAAAAGTTCCCAAGGAACCAAAAGAATTTCTCCTCTTTCCCTGCTATGTCACTTTGTGACTGATTGCAATGGACTTGTGTTTTTTCCCTGGACCAAAAGATATGGGTTATTAATATACCTAAGATTGATACTTTTGCTTCACCCTGGAACTGAGGGAGAACTCCGCCATAAGCATGGACTCCCCAAAAACAAACCAAAGAGAAAGTTACCACACGGAAAAAAAAAAAAAAGAATGAAGGTCGTAGGCGCCTCCGATCACCAGTGGGTAAACCACATTTGCTAGAGAGTCAAAAAGCACAGTATCTTCCCCATCTTTGAATACCTTGCTCAGTGATTGGTTTGCTCTCCTGCTGTTTGCTTTGCCTCTTTTTGCATTATGCGCACATGATGAGATTCCGTTTTCTTTTCTCCAATTTGGCTAAGTTCGTAAAGCTGGTAGTGAGTCTGTGGACCTGGTTGGTGGGAATGTACATTACTGCAGCTGCTTTGGAAACAGCTCGGCTCATTCTAGTAAAATCGAGAGTCCATGTGCCTGTATGTGTACGTAGGGTCACAGGGGCTGTGTTTGTCATGTCTAAGCTTAACCCAGATGGCCATCAGAGGTAGGAACAGTAAATAATTACAGTCACAGAGCAGCAGTGACATGAGCAAAACAAGCATAGTCACGTGAGTGAAACTCATTGCATGTTAGAAAAAAAAAATCACCGACATGTTACTTTAAAAAAAAAAAAAAAAAGGAAAATTTCACATTGTGATCCCATGCTTCGAAATGAAAAAAAATATCAGGGTGTGCCGGTGGCAGGGGAGGGGGGCTCTACACACTGTTTATAGATGCATACCTAGGTCTAAAGCTAAAGAAAGGTGAAGGGGGGAAAAGGGGGGGAGATCATCACCATTATAATAAGTAAATTCCACCACAGCCCTCTTTTCACCTAGTTCCTGAACTTAACGTGGGATGAACCCTGTATACTCTTGACCGGATGATGGAGACACACTGTCTGCTCTCCCATGGTCGGGAGTTGTCAGAGGGGATAGTGTTCAGCCGAGAACTCCGGCAGGAAAAGGAGTCATAGTGCAAACGGATGGTAGTGAGCGGGGTTTGGTTTGAGGCAGAGTTGAAGGTAGGAGTGACAGGAAATGAGCTGGGAGATAGGACTAGACCTGGATTAACAGCTGGAGGCTCCGGGGGTTGGGGAGAGGGCAGGGAAGGGAAAGAGTCTTGACTTTATTCCCGGGGTGCCATTAAGCCATTCCTGGAGTTTTAACCAGTAATCGCATTGGCACTTTATTCTAGGCTGAGTATGTTTGAGGGACAAGAAAGAGGATAGCTGAAGTATCTGGTGCAGCGCCAACAGAGGAGAAAAGTTGAAGAGAAGCCCTTCCAGGCTTATAGTTCCTGATGTTGGATCTTAGTGCTGCAGTCACTAGACAGATGTCAGTTTTAAATTTCAAGGAATGTTCTTTTGTTCTCTCTTTAACCTCAGTTAACCTGAAACGTAGTAGACCCTCAATAAATCATGCTTAAACCCTCAGTGGTTTCCCAGGACTGTTAGGATGAAACTCAGAATTCTTTATCTGACTAAGCTGGGCCAGAGAAAACGGTACAAGGTCAGGGGAGAAAAGGGGGAGTGTAGGGAGTCATTATTTTTGTTACTGTTTTGAGACAGGTCTTGCTGTGTAACCCAGGTTAACCTTGAATGTGTGCCAGTCCTCTTGCCTAAGCCTCCCAAGTGCTGGGATTACAGATGTGTGCCACCACACTTGGCTAGAATCCATAATGCTTAAGCTGTGTGTGTGGGACCACAGTCACCAGGATTCCTACGACAGCCATACTCAGCCAAAGCCATAATTAGGGCTACAATATTGAGAATACCATCCTTGGTAGCGAGGAGGGGTGTAGCCATTTCTGTGGTTCATATAGCTCGATCACCTGTGTTTTGGCCTGAAGGTTTGTTAGAAGACTCTCTCCAGGTTTGTTAGTGATCGCTGGCTGAAGTTTATTTCTGGAAGACTACTGATTTTAGATGAGAAATAGGCCTTAACCTGTACCCTGTGGGCAGTTAGGTGGAGGTCTCACAGGACACAGAGCCTTAAGCTAAGTATTCTGGGATGGCTGAAAGAAGGGGCTCCTGTTGGGAGGCCAGGGACGTGCCCTGAGGTTCAGGCTGTAAATCTGCTTGCTTCTTGGGGTGTTAGAGTTCATATTTGGGGATTCATTGTCTTCTAGAATCCCTCTGTGGGTTTAGGAGTTTAAGGAAGTGGGGAGTGAAATACTAGATATAGAGCAGAAGCCACAGGAAAGAATTTAGCACCTAGAGCAAAAATTGTAGCTGTGATCACTGTTTCTAGGGGCTTATCAGGATGACCCAAATATCTGAGCCAACTTCCCTGCTATAGCCCAAAGTCATTTTCATGTCTGAAGCCTACTTCCTTGTTCTAGCCTAAAATTTAGATTCCTGCCTGAAATTACTTCTTTGTTCTAGCCTAATGTCAGATTCCTGCCTGAAGCCCAACTCCTTGTCCTTGGCCAAAGTCAGATTCCTGCCAAGCAGCTCATTGCTTGTTCTTTGACTGTGTTTAATTGTCGAGCCTTGTTCCTTGACTATTTGCGTCTATTGTATTGCTAGTTCCTCAACCTAGAACTGACCTTAATACTTTCATGTAATTAAAATGGCATAAAAGCAAAAAAGAGGAGGGGGGATGGGGTAGGGGGTTTTTAGGGAAGGGAAATGGGGAAAGGCATCTGAAATGTAAATAAATAAAATACCTATTTTTTTTTTTTAAAGTGCAGGGCCAGAGCTTGGATACACAGGTGAGAGCATTAGCGTAGGTGTCTGCCTCAGAGGTGTGGACCTTCATGACACTTCAGAGCGTTTGCAGCTCACGGTGATTCTCACAGCCAAGAATCATGCCCAGAAACCACTGTGTTGCCAGAAATGGCAGTGTCACCCCGCCCCCAACCAGTTTGTTGTAGGTTAGGTGTTTATGAGAACCTCAGCTTTCTAAGGGAGAGGTGGTTTCAGGATAAAGGGAGACTCAGCAAAGGATAGTAAGTATCCCCAATTCTGAGTGGCAGGATACGGCAGAGCTCCCTGCTCCTGTGGAATTGTAGCTGGTTTCTGGCTTACCCGAGGGCCTGAAATCTGCTGCCTCCCGGGTGTGTGACTTAAGGCACAACATAATTAATATGCAGTCATTTCCTGTCTGTTCAGAACACTCATCTGAGTGAAGGGAGTGGTGGTGAGCTGCTCCAATTGGCTTTTCTGCTGCTGTAATAAAACTTTCTGACCAGAAAGAACTTGAAGAGCAAGAAACTTACTTTAGCTTACATTTCCAGGTCGCAGCCCAGCACTGAGAGAAGTCAGTGCAGGAATGCAAGAATTTAAAGGAACATAATTTACTAGCTCAGCTGCACAGCCCAAGACTGCCTGCCTAGTGATGGTACTGCCCATGGTGGGTGGCGCCCTCCCGCTGAAAAGATGGAAGGGGACCAGTGATGGAAAGGCATGTCTCAGCAGGCCCATGCCAAGGCATCTCTTCCCCCTGAGGGACCAGCCACCCAACGGTATAGCATAGAATAGAGTTTATCCAGGAC